TGTGTGTTCCTGAAGTCAGTTTTTCAAACCGGGGTAACTGTAGCAAAGTAAAAATCTGCTCTCACTGTCCAGTGTGGCCCAGAGGCAAACATGAGGGCTCCTGTCAAATGGTCACAGATGACTTGCTCCTGTCAACCTGCAGGAGTTGTATTCACAGCACAAGTCATGCACCCTAGACCTGTGTTTCCTGGAGTGGGATGAGTGGGCTAGAGCTGAGAGAGAGCTTTCACCACACCGTGCCTAGAGCAGGCCTCCACACAGACCCCTGCCCTCACACGGTCCACCCAGCGTGCCTCTGGTTTAAATGACCCTTTCCGGTCTGAGCTGTGTGAGTCAGTGTCCTGGGGGACTCCTGCTCTGAATCCTGTGTCTGGTGGTGATGTAGGAGAAGTGAGAGCTGAGAAACCTGGAGTCTGGACCCCAAAGTTATCCTGTGGCTTCAGGGAAGTGACTTCAGCACTATGCCCCAGTCTCCTTATCTGTGAAATGGGGATGATGACACTGAACTCCACCCTGGAGAAACAGTGCAGTACACTGCTTGATCTCTTGCTGTGGAAAAGGGGATACTGCAGCAGGTTACAAAGATACTAGTGCCTGTTAATGACAGGGCTGAAGTGCACCTCTAGGTAGAGGATGTGTTCTGCGGAGGAGACTCACTAGGCTGGATTCAAGCAGTAACTTGCCCTGTCTGCTCAGCAGTGTCGCTCTGTGAATATATGGAAACAATCCTGAACATGGTAACATATTCAGACTCCTCCATGGTAGGCACTTGTAGCCTGTATGTCACACTGGTGATGCCCACTGACATCCACACCAGGTAGGAGGGGGCTAATCTGCTCCCTCTTACGCCAGAATGAATTTCATAATTCCCTGCCCATTCCAAGGGCAAGCGGTTTTGGTGAACAGGGGAAGTGGAAGTGTTGTCTGCATATGAATTACTGAAGCTGGCACAGTAGTTTAACCATGGCTAAACACTTCCAGAGGCTTTGCAGATCTTGGAAACCCTGGCCACAGAACCTGAGGGTCTTTAGGAAGCAGAAGCATGGGACAACGTGGTTTTCCTAAGAGGTTAGACAGCAGAATTGTATGGGATGGTTTGGATGGGGATGAGCCTCTCAGGCAGGGGGTTGGCTTCTGTCCTGACTCCTTCCAGCCCTACTTCTCTGTAACTCTGTGACAGTCTGTATGACAGGCAGCTGGAGCCCAGTTCCCTTCTCCGGGAATTTGTCACTGCGCAGGGAAGCAAACGAGCGCAGGGCAGTCTGCTTTATAACAATAAAGAGTTATTGCTGGGGCTTGTTTTGAGCTGTTCTAACATGTGCTTTGGATGCAACTCCTTAAAGCTGTTTTATCAAGAGGACTGGGAAGGTGCAGGGAGAGTTTTGTGCTAGTAGTTTGTTCTTACCATATGAACACTGACTTCCGCACTACTCGGGGAGCTCCTCTTTCGTTTCGTAAAATAATGTTGCAACATATTTAAAGTCTGTGGCTGCAAAAAGCTGTATGGTATAAAACAGCTCTGTTTTTACCAAACTGAGGCATTCACCAAGTCTTGGATTCACAGTCACCAGTTCACTCTGAATTCAGTGGATGTTTGGCAGCTTTTCTGTATTCTGATGAATACAAATGACAGGCCAGATCCTGTTTCTGCTATTAGTTCATTTGAGCACCTAAAGTATGATCCTATTGCACTTGCAAAAGCATTAATGCAAAAGGCATTAGTGGGTCCTCCTCCTCCCTGCTTTCAGTACCTTTGCCTTAAGGCTAGGATGGTGGCACAGTGGAATAGGATTGTACTTTGGTGTCTGATAGCTGGAAAAAGACCTGGTCCAAAGCCTTCCTGCCCATGCAGTAATCCTTGGACAAGTTTCGTTCTTACTTGTTGATTATTTTACGGGCTGTCAGCAGTATTGTTTTCTAAGCTCTGAGGACTAGCTTCTCCCTTGTGTCTTCTCTTTCTTCAGTACAAAACTGAGTAAATCAATCCCATATATATTCTGCAGAATTTTGTTCCAGCTGCAAAGTTTTATTGTTGCTTGTGCATGCACTGGAGTGAATTCAGCCTTGGTCAGTTATTGGGGAGTTTACAGGCAGGAGAGAAGAGAAAACTCCTCTAGTGTATAAACTGCTGGGGCTTGATCTAGAATCCATGAAAGAAAGTAACAGCTGAGCCCAAGGGGAAGTTAGGCTCTACAAGGGGGGAAGAGAGTTGAATTAGCACCATACTTTTTGATGTTCCTTTGCTTTCCCTGCACTGATCCCTTCAACGTTTGCAAAGAGCCTCCCTAGGAGGTAGAGGGACACCGTTGTTTCCTTTACACAAGGTAGGGTACGAACAAGGGAAGGACCTTCCCAAAGTGAATTGCCAGGAGCCCTGAGAACAGGACTGAAGAATCTGTGACCCATGAGCTGCTTCCGGGCCCTGGCTGCACCGTGAGAGCTGTTCAAGGCAGAGGGCAGTTCCCTTTTGCCATCCGCTGAGGCTGGCCAAGGAAAGTGGCACAGGCCCCACAGCTTGGATCTAGACAGGAACAAGCCTGCACTGGCTGGGGGATTAGGTCACTTCAACACCCAGGATGACTACCTCTGCCAAGGGGTGTGTCCTAGGGAGATGGGAGCCTGCCAGCCAGCTGGGGCCCTCTCCCTCACAGCAGCTGGGAAGGAGGGGTGCTGGGAGGAGCTCAGCCCTACTCTTGCTCAGCCTATGCCACCTTATCATTGGGTTTCCAAGCAGGCACCTGGGTGCTTCCTTCCAGGCTGCCACTGCTGCCCAGGAGAAGCTCCTTATAAACATCCACTGAGCCACCTCCTCCTCCTCCTCAACCTCATCATCTTCTTTGCACCCTTCTTGGCCACTTGATTGACTGCATCTGGGCTGCTACTGTGCTGTGACACTGACCTGGCCCCGGACTGATATTGCTTCATAGTTGCCTTGCGCTGCCCCATCTCTCCATCTGCTTCCAGCTGCTGTGCCCTGCCGCGTTTTTACATGGTGATTTGTTCTGTCTATGCAGTGCTAGGCACTGAGGGGTCCTGCACCAGCCCTAACGACTGTGGTCTGCGCCAGCCAGAGTAGTGCTCAGCCCTGGGGGCAATGGGCACCGTACTTGGGCAGGACACTCGGGCACCCAGTGCAGGGAGAGCAGGGAAGTCAGTCAGGGACTGGAGGAGAAAACAAAGCTGCTGGCAGGGGTGTTGCACTGTTGTACAACCAAGGGTCTTGGTACAGAGAGAGACTAGTGCTGTTTCCAGAGTCCTGCCGTCTCCTGTTGGGATGGAGCTGGTAGAGAAGGACAAAGACTAGCGTGGGGACTGGTTCCCCCCAACGCTGCCCCAACACCCCAGTGTGGAATTCACCTCCACACAAGACCCCAGGTCCCAGCCCCACAACACCACTTAAAGGAGGACACAAGCCTTAGCAGGCAGCTCTGGAGGAGAGGGTAAAATTCACCCCTGCACCATACGGCCTTGTTTACACCAGTGGTCTGTAGCCATCCATGCCTAAGCCTCATGAGCACCATGGCATAGGAGTGAGTCCTGTCCCTAGCACTGTAACAGGAACTATATTACATTGAAAATAAAGATGTTCTGTTGCCAAGGCTCAAAAAATAAATGCATTTAACCTCCTTAAGGCTGATTTCTAATGCTGTGCGGCCAAACAGAACTAGACTGAGTTTAAACCTAAGCAGTGGTGTCCCCCACAGCAGCTACAAAGGACCCCAGAGTTGAAACCAGGGCTGCAAAGCCCTGAGTGGCTTGGCTTTGCTTGGGACAGGGCATCTGTTGACTGGACTGCCTCATCAGATGGCAAGCTAAATGCAAAAGCTTGATGTGTATGCAAGTCTGCCAAGGAGGGAAAACCTGGTATCAGACGGGGGCCTCAGAACCAGGGGAAGCTGAATCCTCTTTGGTTTTCTTGCCAGGGGCTGTGGAGTCCTCATTTGGCAGGAGGGAGAAGAGGCTATTTATAGAAAGAGAATGGCAGATCCCTATATGGACAAAGTGCTAATTAGTTATTTCTCTGCCCTTCTTTGGAGGCTTCACTCTGGACTGTTGTTCCTACCCAGGTGTCTTGCTTGATCTCTCCAAATGGGCAGTGATCTGTCAGCCTGGCGTAGGAGTCCTTTGTAATAAGTAACTATTGACAAAGTCCAGGAGGCTTTCTGCTTGTTAGAGAGGATGGCAGGTAGGGAAAAGGATGTATCCATCTCCGTGCCAGGGGGAAGGGAAGTAAAAGGAGAGAGATCTCAAACACAGGTGTAGTGGTGAGAGCAAGGCAAACCATGGGCTCTGGCTTGGATCAGAAGTAACCGAAAGCCCTAGGCTCTTGACTTCTGCCCAAGCTCTAGATTTCTGACTCTGATTTTGTTTAGGGAATCGCACCAAAACTTTCCATCAGCGTTCTTACCACTTCAGCTTCCCCAGGGTTAGCACCATGCAGAGCCCTGGTGTAGCTGAGACTCTGGCAGCTTCCTGTGGTTTTACCATTATGGTCAATGAAACCTTCTAGTGCTCCTGACAGAGAGACTGGCCTGCTTGGTCAAACAGAAAGTAAGGCCCAGTCCTGCACTGCCAGTCTTTGAACTGTAGTGCTTGAGGGCCAAGTCTCTGGGCAGTAGGCTGAGATTAGGCAGGTGTGGCGGGGGGGGCTAGGTCCCTGGGTATTTGCCCTGCCCAAGAAGAAGCAAGAGGGTGAAGATTGCAAAATAGCCTGGTGCATCAGGTACGTGTTGGATTCCTGCAAGTCAGGCTGCACTGTGCCCAGCTTCTCTGGCTGCAGGGAGGGTGCTTTTTGCATCTGGTGCCCAAAGCTGGCTCTCAGACAGGAGATGGCTTTGCAATCCCTGGCCCATGGGTAATGCCACGCAGGCCTTTTAATCTCTGAAGTTTCCCTTACAGGGCCCTCAGGAGAGTCATACTGGACTTGATCCTGGCTGGATTTTCTGTGCTTTTGGTCTCTCGCAGCCTAACTGTTCTCTCCTCTCTCCCTTGATCCACAGTATGGAATTGTTCTGGATGCTGGATCCTCCCACACTGCCATGTTTGTCTACAAGTGGCCTGCAGACAAAGAGAATGACACAGGGATTGTCAGCCAGCACAGCATGTGCGATGTGAAAGGTAGGAATGTAATGCCCTCGGAGGGGGGCGATCAAGGCAGGGCTGAGTCTTGAATATGGGTCTCCCGGGACAATGCCCCGGGCACCTGGCTGCAGACCAACTCCTCCCATCTGAATCCCAAAGCGCAGAGTTGGTTCTGGAAGCAGGTGCCTCCACCCCGTTCTGCTTCCATGGAAACGTTTGAAAAACTCTAGCTTAATTCCAGCGTAGAATGAAAGCAAACGGAAAAACCTCAGAAGCTGCCGCCCTCGGGTCAGCTCTGCTCACCATGGTTTGTCAGTAGGGGCCCAATGGGCAAGACATTTCATACCTATGACAGCTTAGCAGTGTCCTGCTCTTGCCAGGCACCCAGGCTGGCACCTCTACTGTCCTGGCATGGGTTGGGCACACTGGTGCCACGCAGTGTAGGCCAGTCCTCCTTGTGAAGCCAGTGTCACAGAGTCCCTGTCCTCTGTGTGGGGGTATTGTTCCATGAGCTGCTGGAGTCCCTCAGTGCATATGTCCTGTGGGGACCAGGACATTATGGGAGGCTGCCCATAACACGTGGATACAGGCATGAATTGGAAGCTACAGATATACAGCAATGTCTCTCCCGTGACGCAGTTCCCTGGTGTTTGCTAGCACCAAGTGAGCTGAGAGGATCATTAGCTGGTTATCAAACCTTGTCATGTTGATGGAACCTGCATGTGACATGCTCCTATCACGTGGATGTAAGAGCAAATCTCTGATCGGGCCAGGCAGAATCCCCTTGGGGCAATCGCATGCCAGGGTGGTTTTTGCTAGTTGGGGCTGTATCCTGATGCACCTTGTAAGATCAGCCCAAACTCTTGGGCAGCCTGGGCTAGGGGTAAAGCTCTAGGAGCAGGAGGTGGAGCACTTCCTGGAGTGGCCCCCTCTTGGGGTTGTCTGTGCCAAGCTTTCCTTGCAGAAGACCTGCTGGTTCAGGCTGGCAGGTAACCAGCAGGAGATATCATAGGGGGTGGAGAGACAGTATGGCTATCTTGTTTGGCCTTTGGATTTGCTTCTTCAGGCTTTTGTGGGCATGCCTGGGTGTGGCATGATGAGCACAAAACAGCCCTGCTGAACTGCAAGATGGTGCCAAGCACCTGCAGGATGGTTTGTTTTCCCTTCCCATTTTCCCAGCTATGCACAAAGGCTCAGACAAAAGGCCCATGGCTCCTGCCCTTTGAAACGCTTGGGAGAGAGCTACGTTCTCTCACAGTGACAAAGCTCTTCCCTAGAAGGAGCTAGCACCAGCAACAAAAGAGGATGTAGAAAAAGCAGGTGCTCTGTCCAGACAAATGAATGTGAGGGAAAGACACGGACAAGGTGGGACTGCACACAATGCTTGCACTGTTCGGAGGAGAAAAATCCAGGGCCCCATAGCTGAAAAGCTGTTGCCTTTTCTCTTTCTTCTCTCCACCCCCTACTCCCTCCATGAGGGCTTGAGACACAGCCCTCTGAGGAGTTGTGTGGGCAGGGACTGCTCCTCAGGTTCCTCACCACCCCTGGGATCAAGCAGCCAGGGAACAAGGCATGTCTTCTTCTCATCTCCAGGTGGTGGGATCTCCAGCTATGCAAAGGAACCCTCAGGGGCCGGGAACAGCTTAAAGTCATGTCTCAACCAGGCCTTGAAAGATGTTCCCAAGGAGAAGCATTCGGTAACTCCCCTCTATCTGGGAGCCACCGCTGGCATGAGATTACTGAAGTGAGTTTTCACTAGCACCTGCTTTGAAGCAGACTCTCCTACTACTACTATGGACTTGTGGGCTATGGGCCGTGGGCTTGATGTCTATGCTGTTGAGTTACAATCTTCTGCCATTACTCCAGGCATTCCTGGTGCCCTCAGAGGGGCTGCAGAGGTGCAGCGGAGAAAATGGGAGCCTGAGTATTGCCTCCCAGGCATCCAACTACTCCAGTGTCTTGTTTCAGTTGTCATCCATAACCAGCCGCTCTTAGGAAGGGGCAGAGAACCACTTTCTGTGGACAATTATGTAAAAGCTTGCTCGAAAGTGGAGCCTTTTCTTGACCGCAGGCAGTTAAAGGTTGGCTCCTGTCCTGCTGCAGGATGGCTATTAATCCCCATGAAAGAGGATTTTATCCCAATAGATCAGTGTCTGCTCTCTCTGAGGGGCCAGTCCTTACTGAAATCTCTCTAGTACACACAGCACCATTGCAGACAAACAAGCCTTTGTTTTTCAGGGTTTAGACCTGTTGCCTGTATTGGCCGGGAAGTGGGGCATGGAGAATGAGCCAATCCAGGCAGGCTTGCTCCACCTCTTCTTTTCTACAGGGCACTGGTTTTTAACTAGAGGTGCACCAATGTATTGGTCCCATATCAGATCAGCACCGATATAAGGAAAACTGATAGTATCAGCAATTGGCTTTTTTTGGCTGATAATGTGGCCAATAAATGCCCCATGCATGCACACAGCCCCAGCACAGCATGCAGGAGGCCAGAAGCACAGCCCAGCAGTGTGGAGAGCAGCCAGGTCTGGCTGGTAAGCCTGTTGTGAGGGAAGTGGGGGTGGGGAGGGCAAATCTAGGCCCCAGTGGTGGGGGTGGGGCAGGAGCAGATGCTGCATAGTCAAGATGGGGCGGGGCGTGGGATGGAGCTGCGAGAGGCTC